CAGCGGAGCCTCGGCCACATCCTATGCAGCAGGGCACAAGGCGAAGGAACTCACGGGTGGGTTGGGGCAGCGCTGGGGGACCTGGGTGAAAGGAGGGAAGAGACTCCAGGGCAATGCTGGGGCTGCCTTCCCAGACAGAGAAAGGTGAGGTGCACCCCAGGCCCGGGGCCCAGGAGGGACAGCCTGTTCACTGTGCCAGGCGTGCTCTGTGCCTGACCCCTCAAACAGACACTGCCCACAGGACATAGCCCTGCCAGCAAGGCCAGGGGAGGCGTGTGGACACTGGAGGTCTGCAGCAGGCCTGGCACCTTCCCCAAGGGCTGGGCAGCGCCACCAGGAGCAATGGGGCCCTGGGCACTGGGCCTGGCAGGGAGCCTCCCCTGGCCCCAGCCTCAGGCATCCTTGCATCCTCGCCACAGTACTGCCTGGGCTACAGGTACAGGGCTGCCTCCCCTCCCTCCCACTGGAGGACAGGCTGACCCCAGCTGCACCTCACCATAAGCAGCTGCAGCCTAGGGTGAGAGGAAGGAGAGGGGCTGCCTCCAGCTCCTTAAGGCAACCTTGGCCCTTGCTTTGGGCAGGGATGTGGCCCCCAGCGGCCCTAGACACTCTAGCACGGAGAGCCCAGAAGGGGACAGTGGACAGCCACACCCACACACACAGACACACACATACACCCCACACACGGGTGCTGGGGAGTGAGGGTCACCCCAGCCGCAGCCCCCTGAATCACCACAGGCAGTGGCCGGCACAGGCCCCACTCAGGCCCACACCACTGAGGGAGATAATGGTGTACATTAGGAGCCTCATGCATTAGGGAGCCCGGAAAACAGGGTTAGCACAATTTGCAAAACACACAAATAATTCATGTGGCCATGATGTCATGGTGCTGTTGTCAATAATGAATTCACACAACACCCGGATTGAGCTCACACGGGGCTCCCTACCTGGGCCAGGCAGGTGGGCAGAGACAGGCTTGAGGGAGCCAGGCCAGACCCCAGCACCCACTCAGGGGTCAGGAGAGCAGCTGGCCACCAGAGTGGGTGCCAGGCCCAGGGACAGAGCCCAAGGTGACATGGGGCCCCCTGCAGCTTGCCCACGGCCTTCCAGCCGCCCAGACTCTGCCTGGCCTAGGCCCGAGTCCTGCTCCCGTCACCAAGCCTTGAAGGCCAGTCCTTGGTGCCAGGCCTCCGAAGGGCAAAGGTCACCCCTTACTGGCATCTGCTGCAGAGCCCGAACAGAACCAGTTCTGGGCCCGCCTGCTGGAGCCGCACCCCTGGACCCCAGGCTGAGGGCCATCTGTCTGGAGGGGCAGACCCCAGCCAGAGTGGCACTGATGCCGCCACACCTGCCATGCTGAGCTGCGACCCTCCCTCTGCGACCTGGCAGGCCCAGCGTCTCCCAGTGCCATGCGGCTGGCCCCGACTTAATCGACCTGTGTATGAATATTCACACAGCATTCAGCAGCACGGCACTCATGTTCCGAGAAAGCAGAGAGAACACCGTCCTCACTTGAGGAATGAGCGTCGAGGCAGCCGATGGTGACGCCCCGGCCCGGCCCGGCCCGGCCCCTCCGCCTGTCTTCCTCGAGCCCCTGGCCGGCTCCTGCTCGGCTTTTCCCACAGGGCTCCAGCTGCAGCAGGCCCTTAGCCTCCCACGTTGTGGGGACCCCAAGGGCACTGCCTGGGCTCATTGAGCTGCCCACAGAGCTGGCCTTTCCCACCTCAGGGCTCCCCCAACCCCTCAGTTTCCCCACATCCAGGTACTATGGACCCCACCCACGGCCGGGCAAGACCACACAGACAAGCCCTGCGGGCTCAGCATCACTGACCATACCCCAAGAGCCCACGATCCCTAGCTCTGGGCCAGCTAGTGTGACAATCAGATGGCCCGCCCTCAAGCTGAAGCCCCCAACTGTGGTCAGTACAGCAGGTGGCCACAGCTGGCTAGGCCAGAGATAGATGCAGGCATGACCTCTGCCCTGTGCAGGGCTCCCTGGGGACTCTCTGGGGGGTTGGGGGGGGTAGGGCGGTCACAGAGTTGGCTCAGGACCTATTGTGTGCTGGGGTGGAAAGGCAGCCAGAGCTCTGGGTGCACCCAGCAACCCCTCCCCTGGGCCCTCCTGCCCCCTAGGCTTGTCTGTCACCCGCCCCCAGGCACAGTGCAGGCCTCACACCTAGAGCCGTGCTACCCTGCGAGGCCCCGTGTGACACGGCTGCCAGCAGCCTGGGCACGCTGCCCAGCCAGCCGGGGGAGGGGCGCGGGCCAAGCGCTGAATCAGCAGCTCCCTCCCTAGTGCCGGCTGGGCAAGGATGCTGCAGGGGAGGGGGCGGCTCCCCCTTTTGGGAACTGTGGGAGCTGGGCCAGGCTGCTGGGGATTTCTGGAAAGGGGGTCCTGCCACGCTCTGGCTGGGAATGCTGCTTCCCAGGAGCGGTGTGGGCCCAGGGGTGGGGTGGGCGTCCTTCCTGGGCAGGGCTGAGGCACAGAGGAACCTTTCTTGCGAAGGAGACCAAGACGGAGAAGGGAGAGGGGCAGGGTGCGCTGGCCAAGGCAGAGCCCGCGCAGTCCCTGCTGCAAAGCGCTGACTCAGCACCCAGAGGCACCGCGGCAGCTCCCGCCCCCGCATGGCGGGGACCGGCCTTCACAAGGTCAGGAAGCCCAGGCCCCACGGTGGACAGCACAAGGGGCTGTCCTTCCCCGCGGCGCTGCCGGCCCCCGCCCCCTGGCCTTTGTCGTGCTGTCCCCTCCCCTCAGCTGTCCCCATCACACTGAAAGGTCTGGCCCTGTCAGAGTGCACACGCGTGCACGTGTGTTTGTTTTGGGTCTGGCCATTCCCTGCAGGGGCTTGGGCCTGCCTGGGGCAGCTTCTCCAGCACCACCTCCCTTCTAGGGTGAGTTCTTCCTGCCTTCACCTGCCCTCTGCTGGCTCATTTCCCCACCACCCACAGAGACCCTGGGGCCCAGATGCCCAGTGTGGTGGGGGTGGATGCAGGCGGTTCCCTCTGCCTGCTTGGCCCTCCCCCAGTGCCCGTGACCACTCCCTCTGCCTGGGGGCTCTGCCCTGGGGCACTCTCAGACCCCAGCTCAACAACTCCCCTTTCCCTGTCGCCTTTCTGTTTGTTCTCCAGGAGGCTGGCTTAGTGCCCAGCTCAGCTCCCAAACCACCCCTGTTCACCCACCAGGGCTGCCCAGGCTATCTCTGGGATCCTCCTTCCTCCCTTCCCAGGATGCACTAGGTGGCAGGCAGCCCCAAACCCACTCTGCTCAAGGCTGCGCTCCCACAGCTTGGCCCTGGAAGTCACCCTGTACCCTTATTTGATCTTTGCCTTCCTTGTGGGCAGCCTGGCTGTGGGATGGGGACATTGAGTGAACAGCAGGGGGTCGGGCTCCATACTTGCCCCCCCAGGCGCTCCCTGCAGAATGGCAGCAAGAGGGACCCCAGCATTTCCTGTCTATACTCCTCTGAGGCCTCCAGAAGGCTCAGATAGCCAGATGCCAACCACTCCCTTCCTGCAAGGGCCCTAGATCTCAGATAATCGGCTCTCAGAGAGCTTGGAGCAGTGTGGCCAGGCCTTTGGGAGGGCTCCTCCCCTGGCTCCCCACCCGGCGCAGTGCAGCACGGCTGCTGCTGGAGCCCCCAGGCCACCCCAACACCTGAACCCCAGCCAGTACCTCCAGCACTACCCGTCAGAGTGGCAGTCCGTGAGCACAGGCGTGGGCCGCCTCTAAGCAGGACTGGCACAGCTCCACGCATCACGCGGCCTCAGGACAGCAGTTGACCAGAATGATTTCTGGTGATGCAGCCAAGTGAGGCAGCCCTGCAGGACCGAGCCCCAGGCCAACTGTGCCACCCTTGTGCTAACCCAGCCAAAGGAAGTGACCCCAGGCCTGGCTGAACACGGCCATGTGCTCTGGGGACAGCATGGCTGTGCATCAGCGCAGAGGTGGCTGCACGTGGAGCAAGTGCCAGCACACCAGGCACTGAGAGCGGCCCAACAGCCGAGGGCCTGGGCTCGATCTGTAGCAGTGTAGAAACAGCAGAGAACACGTGCAGATTCTCAGCTGGCCCCAGGGCGTGGCCACCTCACCCAGGCCCGGTCTATACATGGGCAGGGACACTGGGCAGCCGCCTTAGGGCCTTTCCCCTGCTGGAGCCTAGCTGAACAACCCCAAATGCCTTGGCCCTGGCCCCTCCTTGGCTCCTGGCTCCCCAGGAGCGGAGGGCTCAGTTCAGACTCAGAAAAGCATCTGGAGGGAAGCAGGCGCGGTGGTGCATGCCTGTAATCCCAGCACTTGAAAGGCTGAGGCAGAAAGATCGTTATGAGCTTGAGGCCATCCTGGGCTACAAAAGTGAGTTCAAGGCCAGCCTGAACTACATAGAGAGACCCTGTTTCAAAAAGACAAAACCAAAAAAACAAAACAGAACAACAAACCCTAAAGCCATCTGGAGGGGTGGGGCCCCGCCCAGGAGTGCAGCCCAAGTCTAATACACCGGAGTCTGGAGCCAGGACCACACCCATGGGCCGGAGGGAAAAGCAAACCTCCAAAGTTTAGTTTATACAAATCCAAAAGCGATGGCTACGTGGCTGTGGCAGAGCCGGTGTTCTTCTCAGTGACACTTTCTGGGCACGTGGGCTGAAACTGTCCCAGTGTTGCATTCTCTGATGTCAGGACCGCCGGCACAGGCGCAAAGGCAGCAGGGTGCCTCCGCCGGGGGAGCGTGCCGGCAGCCCTGGGAGAGCTGGGAGGTGCAGCCGGGTTCTCTGCTCCTCTCAGTGCCCCATACCAAGGCAGTCAAGCTGGCAGCCATGGTCCTGGTCCCCCAAGGGCACCTTCCCACAGTGGAATGAATGCCCACGGAACCCCCCAACATCGTCATTGGCTGCTTGTAAGAAATATCCCAATTTTGTGGAGAAAAAATAGTTTCTATACCCTTTTTAGTGATTATCTCCTTCAATGGGTAAAGATTGTAAACTGTTAAGTAATCATTCAAACAACATGTTAAAAAAATAGGTTTAATGCAGGTGTTTCATCTGGTAAAGAATTTAACAGGCACTCGGGACACGGGCAGCTGGGTTTGCAGCATGACAAGGTCCTGGCCATGCCAAGGTGGCCCGGCCAGATCCCTCCCACCACTGGCACCCAACGAGCCTGCGAAGGGGCTCCGGCAGCTCTGAGTAACTGGCTAACACAAAACAAAGCTGCTTTGAGGAAAGAGCAGAAATTAGTGCAAGATTCTCTGCAGCAAGCAGCAGGGTCCACTGGGGAGTCCTCACCTGCCCTCCCGGAGGCAGTCAGACCTACGTCGACAGTGGGGTCTCCCTCAGGATGCGCTGGAGGCTGGCTGGAAATGGAGGTGCAGCCACAGCTAGGTGGGGTTTGCTGGCCCGCCTAGTTTGGGGTTCTTCAGGTCTCTCTTCAGGGAGTAAATCTGTCCTCACAGATCCCTTACCTGGTCTGCCTGGCAGGGCAGGGTCAAAGAGGCCACAACCCACGCCCAGGTGTGGGGATAACAATTTGGGGTAAAGCTAGGGTTGGCCGATTTGCCACTCTTGAGACTGGGCGGGGGTCCCCACTCTGGTGTCATGACTCTGAGCCCCCCACCAGTAAGCTGTACTGCCAGAACAGCTCCAGACCCCAGCTCTCACAGGCTGGTAGGGGGTTTCTGCCCAGGATGTCCCAGCGGTGGGCAGAGGACAACAGCCCACTGCACCTGGCACCTGGAAGGCACCTTTAGAGACTGCCTGGGCCTACCTAGTGGGCCGGTCTGGACCCCTGACATCCACTTGAGACAGGCAAGTTTAGCCCTGGATCCTTCATGAGGGAGACTGAACTGCCCCACAAGCTAAAAAGAGAGATACCCCGGGAAGCCCCTGTCTGCAGCGACCTGCAGTGCAGGCCCGGCCCCTTGACCTGCAGCCCCAGGCATGGTAGCAGAGTGGCTGGTATAGGGCTGGCGCCTGGCTGACTCATCTCCTTGGGCTGGCCCTGCAGTTTCTATGGTAAGCCACAGTGACCCTGAGGCCTAACCTGGGACTCAGGACCCATACAGCCCCTCAAGGTGACAGGTAAGGGTGGTAGCCTGCGCCCGGGCCAGGACCCATGTGGCAGTGCAGTGTCACTAGTGGAGCCTGACTGTCCCTGAGGCTGTAGCTGAGACTGGGGGGTACACAGGAAGTGGGTGTGAAGAGACCCCGCTGGATCTGTGCCCGCACCCCTCACTGTCCATGGTCTCAGAGCATAGGCTGGACAGAGGAGCCACAGGACAGAACCGGACAAGTGCGGAGAGCTGCAGGGGAGGGGGAGCAGGGAGGTGGAGAGGGAAACAGCGTGGGCGCGGCCCTTTTCCCTCCGGAATGGAGTGTGTGCTACAGACCTGCAGCCCAAAGAGGCAGACGCCTATGCCAACAGAAGGGCTGTGGCAGGCCCCCGAGCCAGCCCACACTGGCCCAGGGCACCCTCACATGTCCACAAAGACCATGAAGCACCAGCCCAGACCCCCGACCAGCAGCATGGTCACATGGATGCCATAGATGAGCAGCTCATTCATGAGGCGGAAGTCCACGCGGCGGCGGCCCAGCAGCAGGAGCAGCACAGACAGCTTCAGCTGGAAGCGCAGCAGCACTCGCACGCCCAGGTACTGCAGGCAGAAGAGCGCAGCCAGCGCGCCCCAGAGCGCCGCGGTAAACAGGCTGCAGCTGAAGTACAACAGGAAGCGGATGAAGCCGTACAACCAGCGCGTCTTCACGTACACATCGAAGTTGTTGTACTTGGTGCGTACCAGGTGGGAGGCCCGCACAGGCCCACAGGCGGCATGCAGGCAGGTGGTGTGCGGGCCATGGAAGGAGCGCACCCGCCGCGGGATGGGCATCACCGGCATTGGACTCAGAGGCAGCAGTGGCGCCAGCTCACGATGGCTGTGCAGCGTCCAGGCGGTGGCCTGCAAAGGTGTCATGGGCGCCTATGCCTGGGAGACCGCAGCTGGGGCTTGGGGCAGGTGTTGGCCTGCAAGGAGAGGTAAGCAGGGAGCCAGGTCAGTCCCGGGGCAAGAGGGCAGCCTTCCCTGGAAAACCAGCCAGGGTCAGGGAGCACAAACCCTCCCAGAGATTCTTACGGAGGACCCACAGTGTGAAAGCCCCAAGTTGCCACTCTAGCTGCAGCTGTAGGGGAAGGGACAGCTGAGACAGGCGCCCCACTGTCACCAGGGCAGATCTCTGGGCGGCAGTCAGTGCCAAGTCGGTGGGGCGGGAATAGCGGAGCTGCCAGCAGCCCAGGTTCCCTGCTCGCCCTAGCTGCTCTGCCTACGCCCATTACTGCCCACCTGCTCTGGGTTTCACCCAGGGACAACAGTGAAGACCCAGGACGGAGACCATTTCCCAGCTGTGACCTTGGGCGGGCTGCCTGCCCCTCCCCCACCGCTGTCGCTGTCGCCGACTGCAAGGGCACCTACAGCACCACGCCCGGGTCTGCCCGCGCGGGGGACACCTGCTGGGGGGCTGCGGCCAGGCTCAGGGCTCCGTCTCAGGGGCCAGCCCCAGGGCCACGGCAGCCCTCCACACTGGGCCATGGAGGGTCTGCCCGCACGCAGCGCGCGTTTTCACCACCCGAGTGCCACTGACAGCCGGCAAATGCGAGGTGTGGGTGGAAACGGAAGGGGATAGTCGGCGCTCAGGACACCGAGGAAGCAAAGTGTAACCAGACGGCGGCGGGGGCGGGACGACGGGGCCAAGGCTCGCGCCCCCGGGGACTTCGCCCCAGCTCCCCGCCCCGCCGAGGCCTGGGCGAATGGCGGCGCGGGGGCCTAGCCCTCGGCCCGCGCCGCGGAGG